AAATCCTTCTCCAGGCTCGTGAAACAAGCTAGTATAGAAGCCTAAATAATTACCTATACTATTTTGGGGGGGTTCCTTAATGTACTTATAGTACAATATACCCCAAAACCCTATTCTAATTATTAAGGCTTCTGCATGAGGCAGTCTTTTGTTGCTTCAGACTTTGATGATGACGGGAAAAGGGCCCAGCTGATCCTTCAGGGCTCCGGTAGGTTTAGGGTTGTGGGTTTTGGGTTTAGGGTTTAGGGTTTTGGGTTTAGGGTTTAGGGTTTTGGGGGATGAAGGGCCCCAAGAGTTCGAGGTGTATCTGGATCCTACACTGTCTTCGATACAAGATGTTGTGACCCTAAACCCTATAAGCCTTAAGCCCTAAACCCTGATCCCTAGACCCTAAACCTTAAAGCCTAAACCCAAACCCTAGACCTTAACCTCTAAGCCCTAAACCCTGAACCCTAAACCCCAAATCCTAAGCCCTAAACCCCAAACCTAAACAGGTCTGTTGCCCCTGAGACTCCCACATTGCATTTAGGGCTTTAGGGTTTTAGGGCAACTCGGGCCTTAGAGCTTTGGGGGTTTCAAGGTTTTAGGGTTTAGGGGTTTAGGGCTTTTGGGGTTTAGGGTTTAGGTTTTTTGGGTTTACGGTTTTGGGGTTTAGGGATGTTTTTGTTGGATTCAAGGGGGGCCTGGGCTTAGTGATAGCTCGGAACCCGAATACCAAATTTCTTCGGAGCCCTTTCGTTCAGATGTTGGCATGGCTCCTTTCATGGTAGGCTCTGTATAAGGATCCCAGGGTTTGCCCATGTTCAGTAGGATTTGGGCCCCTAAACCCTAAACCCTAAACCCTAAAACTAAACGGGGGCTCAAACGGCTCACGCCTGCAAAGAAAGGCCCAGTCGTCGGCCCTGCGTGCTGTTGTTGTCGGCCCCCTCCCTGGAGGTTGATTCATGGGTGATACGGCTGATGGACAAAATCCTGCATGACCTTATATACCTAAACTATGGGATTTATGGTACTATACTATATTTGGGTCATGCAGGATTTTGTCCATCAACAGTATGGGCCTGAATGATTAGAATAGGGCTTGGGATATATTGCGTTATAAATATAATAAAACCCAGTATTGGTAATTGTTTAGGCCCCTACATTAGTTATAACTGGGGCTATTAAGCCCCTTAATGTGGGTTATAAGTATAGTTATACCCTACTTACAACCCCATTTATAACTACCCATGAACCCCACAAGCAAAGGAATGGTAATGCCGACTCCCAGTCTTTAAGATAGCCCCTTAGCAGTAAGGTACAGTGGGTCAGTTTTTTGGCAAGTACAGACAGTAACATGAGCATTCGGCACATGATCGACTTTAAACATCGAACCTTAAACCCTAAACCCTAAACCCCTAAACCCTAAACCCTAAGCCCTAAAACCTAAGCCCTAAAACCTAAACCCTAAACCCTAAACCCGAAACCCCTAAGCCCTAAACCCTAAACCCTAAGCCCTAAACCCTAAACCCTAAACCCTCAAGACTTCACCTCTGCACACAGCCCTCGGCCTGAAGCCGTCGTCTTGATACCTCCTAAGCCCAAGAGGCCCGAAGGGTTTAGGGTTTAGGGTTTAGGGTTTAGGGTTGCTTTTTGCCGGCTTCCAAACAGCCGAGACCGTGGCTGTAACCCCGCCAAACCCTGAACAAGACACAGACGCCATGTAGTCCATAGACCTTAATTGGAGGTTCGTGGGTAGTTATATGGGGGTTATAAGTCCCCAATATGCGTCATAAATATAGTTATCCTACTCACACAGCCGTTTATAACTACCCATATGCCCTAAACCCTAAACCCTTAAAGTAACCCGTGTAGTGGCCCTTATGGTAACCGCATTTATAGCTACCCAAGGCCCTCCAAGTAGAATCCCCAACGCCTAGCCCGATATCTGCTACAGCCCTGCGCACCAGATCCCCGAGCCTTTGCCAGCTGTGTAGGGTTTAGGGTTTAGGATTTAGGGTTTAGGGATTAGGGTTTAGGGTTTGTTTAGGGTTTTGGGTTTAGGGTTTGGGGTTTAAGGAAGCCCGATCCCTGAACTGCCATGCATTTAAAAACTCGCAAAATATGCAGTAAATTGATACTACGGTTGATGATAGAAATCCTGCATTGCCCATAAGAAGGAATATGCCATAATTCCCCTAGTTTAGGGTTCTAGAAGTAATGCAGGATTTATATCATCAACAGTATCTATAACATCCCCCTAAAACCGTCCTGTCAACCTGTGAGCTCAATGAGAACCGAAATTTCATGACCAAACTGTGAGAACATGATGTTGGTTTGGAGTACGAACACCAGCTGTGACAACATGGGTTCAGGGTTTAGAAGTGAAAAGGCTCGAACGTACCCTCTAGGTTCCTGAGTGACCCCTAAATAATAAGTGCACCCTTTGTCCTAGTATTCGGTTTCAATAAGGAGACCCCAAAATAAAAGGGCAAAAGGGTACTACTTCAGGAACCTAGCA